CCCAATCAGCTCGGCGGCGTGCACGGACCATCGGTCCAGTAGTGAGGTCTCACTACCGATAGACCCCTCAATGGTGGACCTGCGCTTCCGTGCCCGACCAGGCTTGGCTGCTGCGGACAAAATCTCCGTTGCGGCTGGGCGGCAAGGTAATGACTCACGTGGACCTCGAGAAACCAAGCCAATCATCGCTTGTGACGATAATATAGGAGACTTATAGTCGTTCGTCCTCTTCAGTGAAATCTTTCTTTTGGAATGCTAGGCGTTTGGTTGAATTAATATATACCTCAACATAGCCCCAGAAATGGGGGATCATTAAGCAGCAAGTTGCTCTATAGGCCCAGGGGTCAACCTTGCTCGGCCACCACCCTGCACCGCCGCTTGGCCCGCTCGGCGCTTGTGCCATATTCCCTCTCGGGCATATCTGCGGAAGCTCGTCCGGGGAAGAGCGTTTTGGGCCGTAGTATAATAGCATCATGAGCTGCAGATCGCCGTTTCTTTATATCGCTTGTGAATACAAACAGCTTACTGGATAATGTGAGTACTCCCAATTATGATATTTATAGAATAGTGACTGGTTTGCTGTGGATCATAGTAGCCCCTTAAATTACTCTTTCCCCTAAGACCAAGCAAGTGATTTGTTGGCGTTTCCATTGGTGCTGTCAACATGTATGCTTAGCCATGATGTCAGCGCCCCATTGAATAGTTATCGCTGTGCACTATTAATTCCAGGATATGTTAAGTTCAAACACTGTCGGCGACCGTATCCCCAAGCTAAAATTCTAGTAGCATTTCACCCGACCTGGTCAAGAGAATTACACCGCCATCAGCTTTAACCCAAGCTTTTCTACGTCAAGCAACCATTGTAGCATATAGGCCGGCGGTCCACTATGACTGATATTCCCTATCTTAGAAAAAGGGCGTATGAATACTTTTTCAAGACGAATCATGCTCAGCTTGCCATTGGCACGATCAACGAACTCCTTGAGAGCAGTATAATAAATGGCGCAGTCACTGAGCACGAGCGACTGTAGCCTAGGAGAAGGATGGTAGCTTAAGAGAGGTTCCCAAAATCCAAATTGTCCCCGTAAAGTTAGGTTGGGTATGGATTTTACCGCTTCCAAAAAGTCGAGTGTCACCCCTAGATCCTCGATCGTGCCGTCGGCAAAAAATATATCGACAGCGAGGTTCTTAATATCTTGCCCGTTCTGACGGGTCGCCTCAAGGAGGGCACCGATCTCTTGTAAATGTTGGCGAAGTAGCTCCGTTGGCAGTGTAAAAATAAGTGGAGTATAGCACATGGGGCAGGGCTCGAGTGTTACATGGAGAGACGACAAATTGGCACAAGACTGGATCAAGGCTGTAAGATATGGCATATCAGGTCTGATATCCAGATAGCATTGTTGCTGCCATGAGAGTGCATATCTATGTGACCAGACGTGGCTACCTCTAGATACTATGTCATCGATGCATGCGTGATCCGTCCTACGCTTGTGGACACCTGATGCGACCTTCCAGGCAGCAACATAGGTTATTGAGCGGACATAAGCTAATATTGTCATGGGGATCTGTTCTTGCCAGTGGCATGCACACGTCCTGATCCAGATATTTTCAAATAGAGAAGGGCTGACGATTTCGCGAAGTCTGTGATTTACCAAAGCCATGTTATACAGCGTTTGGTAATCCATGCGTTCCACGATAAGAAAAATTATCTCCATGGGTAGTCGAGACAGGAACATATTCCTATGACTATCCAATGGTTTATGACAAATTAAACCCTCGCTTGTAGGCGCTGCCGATCGACTATATGCACAGGCTGCAGTTGTTTCTTCATATTGAAATGAGGAATGATCGCACATACCTCCTCCTATACAAAGTATCGAAGTCAAGAGCGAAACGTAGACTGAAGAATGCACCGTATAGCTACTGCATTCAGCTGGAAATCAATAGCAAATGGCTTGGATAAGCAAACCGCCGGTCGGAAGTCTTGACTCATATATTGCCTTACGATACACACGAGAAGGGGATGTGTTGGATAATTTATATGAATCTTCGCAGTCCTACCTTTATACACAAAGTGGGGGTCTATCTTTAGGTCCGCTGAATATAGATATGCCCCTATTTTAGATCTCTCCTTCCTCGCTATGACCCAACTACCTAGAGCCTATGTAAAAATATATTCTGTAAGTCTCAATATTCCAGTTAGATACCCTATTCGGTACTTTACACCAAGCGATACATGACTCCATGTATCGTCGCTGTATGGAATAGCCATTATGGCCAGAACTTTCCATAGATATGCGAACAAGTGAAGGATGGGGAGCTGGGGTTGGCCTCGAGAGTATGGCAAGGTCTCACTTTTCCCTCCCACCCCCATGTCTAAGTGACAAAATACAGAGAAATGCATCGGGTTCACTAATGGCACTCGTTCATTCATGATGGGCTCTATTGCCAAGGCGCTATTTCCATCAACTAAATGCACTCGATGATGATCACCGCATTCACACTATTTGAACTACTCGCATGATTTTCAGACCCATATTGAACACCAAGGGAGCCCAGATTAGTGATAAAATATGACCTATCGTGATCAAAATTAAGGTGAGTAACTGTTCCATTCACACTTATGGTCTGCTGTAGCACGCCTGTCGCCGGGTCCCAGAGGCGCGCGGTTTTGTCACCCGAGCCGGATGCCAGCCCTCGAGGGTCTGCCGTCCTAAACTCCAGGTTTCCTGAACCCATGGCAACGGACATATCCAATCAGGAATTTCTGCTTCAAATTTCCAATGGCTTCTTCGGGTGCATAGACAAGTTCTGAGTAGCGAAGTTGAAGGGGCGTATCATCGGCCATCTGCCGGTTCTTCAGGATGAAGCGCTTTGCGTCATGCAGAAACTCGGAAATTACAGTGATCGCCACTGTGACGTCCAGTGGGACATACTAGTGCAATGTTCTGGAGGAAATTTAGCATCCCCACCACTTCCGACACAAGACCAAGTAGGCTCATTGCTTCAACCCAGTGTAGAAAATGCTCATAGAGAATCAGCAACACAAGCTCAGCCTCGGAGGATAAGATAGGGCTTTATTTGAGGTGATGTGTCCTGTAGCGACACGAGTATTGTAGTTCTGGTGGCAAGTCCAGGCGTAAGGATTAAGCTCGGCCCTACGGGTTGCAAGACCTTCTAGATTGCAGATATCTTTCCGCAAATGGCTTCTCATTTTTTTTAACACATAACAAAGCAATTTCCTTATGCTTATTTGGCTCGTCAATAAGAAATTCACTTTCGCATTGAACCAAGAAATCTCGAAAAGAGAGATGTAGAATCCGAACAGGTAGATCTCGATCACTAGGAACGCTTAGAACAGACCGAAAAGAATCCAAGAGATTGCTAATCTGTTTGGCTTCTATCCCAAGAAATAGCGCCAGCGCGTTTGTTGAAAGTGGAACAGCAATAAGGATGATGGCACCGACTATTTTCTGGGACAGGGGCTGTTGCTGCTCTGACTTATTACTCTCTTCATCGTCGAGGAATTGGTTTAGAACTGGCATGTAGGACTTATCCATTTCCCCTGCATATTGACGCCAATCCTGAAGGAGCTCTGCCAGACGTATTGTTGGTTCCAACTTTGGATGCTCGATATATCGGCAAATAGTAGCAGCAGAAATAAACAAAGGAACGGACGTTGTGACAATTTCTTAGACGGTATCATCGCCAGGCCAGTCTCGAGAAACATTCCTATCGTGTTGGACTTTCGTAAATCGGTCGTGGAGAAATAACTCTATATCGTTATCACTTCTTGGGTATTTTATGAAGAGCCAGGTCCTGATAATCATGATCTGCGTTCTGCGAAAAGCCGAGGTTGCTTGGAACTTCAGGCCTGCTAGTCAGGAAGACCCGGATGCGAACCACTGTTGCTTCCTGTACCTGGCCGCGTGGGAGGTAGAGATTGCTATTTTGGAACCCAGATAGTAAGTACTGTAGACCAGTGACATCGGGTAATATTCGCCGTGAAAATTAACGTTGCCTCCGATCTATAAACGTCTGATCTATTATTAAATGATTACATCTATATGCCTCTCCGACAATAGACCCATCAATGAGAATCCGTCGATATATACATTTCTGAACTCGTCATCTATTCTCTTGATATCGGATTCCACTGGCAAGCATCAATCCCATTTGCAACAGTTATCAGCCAAACGAGACCTCAAAAGCCCCAAAACTTGAACCATACAAAATGTTCATCACGTCCAAAGTGATCGCTGCCCTCATAGGCGCCTCCACGCTCAGCGCCCACATGATCATGAGCAGCCCTACCCCTTATAGCATGAACAGTCTCAACAACTCGCCTCTGGCAGCAGACGGCAGTGACTTCCCATGCAAGCTTCGCGACAACACCTTCGAGGCTCCCGAGACCGAGACAATCATCGCCATCGGCGAGTCCCACCCTCTGTCTTTCGTCGGCACCGCCACCCACGGCGGTGGCTCCTGCCAGATCAGTCTGACCACTGACCTGAAGCCCTCGAAGTCTTCTGAGTGGAAGGTCATTAAGTCCTTCGAAGGTGGCTGCCCTGCCAATGTTGAGGGCAACATGTCCGGCGGCCCCGACGCCCCCGATCCCTACACTTTCGACTTCGCCATTCCCGAGGGTATCGCCGCCGGCAAATACACACTTGCCTGGACCTGGTTCAACCGCATCGGCAAGCGCGAGATGTACATGAATTGCGCCCCCATCACCGTCGCAGGTGGCTCCTCCAAGCGCTCCCCCGAGGAACTCGAGAAACGCGCTGCTAGCTTCCCACCTATGTTTGTCGCAAATGTCAATGGCTGCACCACCAAAGAAGGTGTTGATATCCGCTTCCCTCAGCCAGGCGATAATGTCGAGTACAAGGGTGAACCCTCCAACCTCGCTTTGGAGGGTTCCGAGGCTTGCACTGGTACCGCTACCTTCAGCGGCTCCGGTGTGACTTCCTCCTCGGGGCCCTCTATCTCTGGCTCAGACTATGGCTCTAGCTCATCCGGCTCTGTTTCCTCTGGCTCTGCTTCTTGCTCCCTTTCTACGGGGGCAGGGGGCGCCTCCACTGCCTCCCTCGCCCCAGTCCCACAATCTACTTAATCGAGCACACCACCGATCCCGTGTCATCCTCAGCAGCCGGCCCAGCTACCGTGACAACCTCTTCACCCACCGGCTAGGAGTTTGGATCTACCCCCAGCTCCACCTCCGGTGGCCTGACTGGTATCTGCAGCAACGAGTGCCAGTGCAACTTCATTTCAGACAGATATCCTCCAACCCTATGCACTTCCGCTATTATGGGCCGCGAGATCTGCCTTCGGCTCGATTCTAGGGCGTTAAAACTCAATTTACTCGGAAAGCGCTTCTGAAAAAAAAGACATAGGATAACATGAAATAACATGAAATAACATGAAATAACATGAAATCATAAAATAAAGTGACAAATTATTAGAACTGGAGACCAACCCCAAGTCCTTCCAATGTAGATTGCGGAGGAGATGTTGATGGATTTCTAGCAGGAAACAATGAAGCAGCAATTTATATGTAGTTATAGTTATATATTCCATAGCTCGTTCAATGCACTTTCACAATCGATAACAAGCAAGCATCAGAGTCAAGACGAGGATCAAACACAACCTCAAATGGAGAAGGTCAGTACATCGACCAACAATAATATAAACACTGTTATCTACCTTAAAGGACCCAGTCGAAGACAATGAGCCACCGACTCGACCTGCAAGACGGATCTCCCAGACGACGAACATTTTTCGGCTCAAATAAATCATGACGATTGCGTGCCAAATAAACCACCGAATCCAACAGAAGTAATAACTTGGGAATGAGGGAAAAATTCAGCACGATTGTACAACAAGGTAACTGGCTACTGTATGGGGATCAAACGACTCCACATTCAGAAGTCGAATAGGCATACTGATAAGTATCGTGGCTCCGTCTAAGCATAGTTTCGGACAAAGCGACCGTATCAATAATACAGACAACCCGGCAAGTCGTGATTGAAGTAACAAGAAATAACTAACAGAATAATTGTTATGAAAACTTCCTAACAGGTTTTAAGACCTTCCAATAGGTTTTAAGACCTCCTAATAAGTTTTAAGACCTCCTAATAGGTTTTAAGACCTCTTATTTTTAGAATATTGGGTAAATTTAGAACGTAGTTGAGTTTCGCTCGGCTCGCAACCTAGCTTGGCAGTGTCAGTAGTTTATGATCTCCAGTGGCTGTCAGATTCGCTACATTCAATGTGTTCGCCGATGTCCGCTGACCTATCGTCCGAAGTCATCCTTTGTATGTTTATGAAAAGAAAGGAAGGCCCCCCTGGTGGGGTGAAGCGAAAGATATTTATTTGAAAATTATGTTTAATTTTTTATGTTTTGAGTTGACTTGATGTATAGTCAGATGTATATCACATCTCGTCGATCTAAAGCTATGTTACAATGAGAGACCCACATAGCAAGCTCCGTCGGCTCAATGGCGGTGCAACCAGTGAAGTTATAGGTTTTAAGACCTCCTAATAGGTTTTAAGACCTCTCAATAGGTTTTAAGACCTCCTAATAGGTTTTAAGACCTTCCAATAGGTTTTAAAACCTCTTGCTAGGTTTATTTTTAGAATTGGGTAAATTTAGAACATAGCTTGGCAGTCTTTTTCGACCAGCCTTCAGACTTGATGCTAGATGTCGTTGCTCGAAGAGCGAATTCGTCCCATAGAAAAATCACCATCTCATCCAGATATAAGGTAGGCTTTTCAATCAGATAGTCGGACAATGCCTCGAGCATGACTGGTGTGATACTACGGGGTCCGCCTTTAATTGGCGGTGCTCTGACGCTGCCAAACATTCTTATATTGGAAGAGATCTTGAGATGGTGCTCTTGTTGCAACCAGCGGCCAGAGCCATCTCAGTTATAGATAGTTCGCCACTGTGGGTTATGTCATAGATAAGCTAATGCTTGGAAGGAGCTAGGTTTAGAGCCATCTTTGCTTGGACCACTCGTGATTGAATGTCAAGTATGCCTCCTAAGGAAAGCTGTTTTGGAGGTGGGGCGTGGAGGTGTCAGATGAATTTAATTTACAATCGAAGATATTATGTATTTTACTTACGCTCAGCTTATATTGGTACTCCGGAGTAACATAGACTAGTGTGTCTTGGCGCAAGGGGCAGGAAAGTCAATCGAAGAGTGTAGGTTGTTGCACCAGTTTCGGGACGCTGTATATCACGCGAAAGAGCACGCTCAAGCGCATGTCGCACTAGGAGTCAATGCACACCAAGTTACTGATGGGATGATGCGCTAGTGTATCTTAGTGCTGATACGATTTTCGATTGCACTTCTCACCATATTAGAAGCCGATGGAAAAACATTCTAATCGAGGGTCTATTCACAGCGCTTTAAAAAATATGCAATGGGCTTTTCTGGCTGTCGAAAACCTCGCATCCTTTAGGAAACCTAGTTACAGATCTCGTTACTGCTAGTTCTAGAAGAACATGTATATAAAAAACAAGATAGATTACGCCGATCTTTCAAGGATGTGCATTCCTGTCAATTCAACGATTAAGTAGTTCCATTGGCAGAAGCGTGATAATGAGATAAGACCTCCCGATTGTACAATATATCTCCACGCTTCTGCAGAATATTTTCTCTTCAACTCGCCTCCGCAGGGGATAGGATCACTTTCCAATCTGAGCTTCAGTTCTTTGGCCGGATGAACAGTGCTTCCGCTTGAATGCATCGGACGCTTTCCCAGGAATTTGAACGGAGCCTTTCAAGAATATTTTCCGGCCCTCGACTTTATTCGGCCATGCCCGTAGCAATATGGGTACAGTGGGTGGGACAGGAAGCAAAAACGACGTGTTAAGGTACGCTGTGAATGCTGGCTTGCAGCAATCGGCGAGAATCCGGTCCATTAAGAAGGCGACGTATCCACCAAACAGTTTACCATCATAATAGCACATACGCTGTGATGGACCGAGGAGCAAGAGAGATTCTACCTCGCATCCCAGCCGGTGAGGTTTGAAGACTGGGCGATAGCCTTGGAATAAAGAAAGCATCATATCCTCAGAAGGTTCGTTCGAAGACGGCTTTTGGAGAGGCTTTACCGGTCAGAAACCCAGCCCGCGTTGCAGTCAGAATAATGGAACTCACCACGGACGGCCTAGGCACTTCGGCGCTTATTTCATAAGATGAACTGGGTGGATATGTCTGCGCCGAGCGGTGATACCCACGAAGAGATCGAAGGAAAAGAGAAGGTACAAAGGGAGCGTTCATTTCGAAAACTCAAACCTGAGGGTCCTAAGGAGAAACAAAGCTGGGTGTGATGAGCTCTCTAAAATGGTGGACACAATTGTTTTTGCCAGATATATATACCTTTTGGAAAAATGGCGACATCTCATGGAACGGATTTGAATGTCAGTAGACTGTCTAATCAACGTCGATATTTCCTCAATATTCAAAGCATTTCAATTAGCCAACGAGCAATTAATTCCAAAGAGACAGGTTTTGTCAAAAGCGAACTGGACACCCACTCCCTTTGAGTTAATCAACCGAGAATTTAAGCAACTGATCGAATTAAATTTCATCAGTTGCTAATCAATTACAATTTTTTGATTCCAGTATTGATGTTCTAAATTGTGCTGAGAAATCATTGTGATATTATTGCAGGACTGTGCATCTGTAGGAGACTACGTCGAGCTTCCATCCCCTTGCAGTAGTATCCTCATATTTTTATAACTTTTCAGGATATGATAACCATTTTGCCAAAGCTTACAGAAACCTGTCGTGATCGGTTTCGTTATTTTGGTGAATAAAGACCAATGATAGGTCCCGAAAAGTACAACGTACCTGGAAGTATCTATTGAGCTCCCGGATGTCGGATTGGAGTAGGTAAAAAAAATGGGTCAGCAAGGATAAACATGGAAATAAATTCATAAGATTTTGTTGTATAAATTGACCGTCCATGCAACCTCCCGCCATCACTAAGCATACAATGTGCTAGATCAAATATGTCTAGAGGTGTTTACCAAATCAAAAGCTCAGCAATCTCGGCCACTTAACCCATTTATATCACAAAGCCAAGGTCATAGCAGATAAGGAAAATGGGCTATGATTTGCGCTTGCACAATTTACCTCAAAGGCTGCTGATAAAGCCCGACGGATCTGCATTTACGTATCTAAGAGCTTTTAGTCTCCACGTTCCCTATAGACACAAATATTACCAGATAAAACACGCACAGGTCACCATCGACGGCTTTGCTGCTGAGTTTTTTCTTGTGTCCTTGGCTGTCACTTCACCAAATCGAGTTAGCCATGCGCGGGGAGACAATGCTTATTCCTTTCGGATTGGTGCTGCTTTTGCTACAACCCTGGCCCGCAGAAACCAACGTCTGTTGGCGGCGCTATAAGACATTTGTCGCACGGCCGACTAGTGGCGGTATGTAAAAGATATGAGTAAATTAATCCTTTTGCAAAAACGAACAGAGACTACATACAGGTCCTAAACCACTCCATCATCATCAGTACCTTCAAACCTTGCCTGACCACGAAACATTACCTACCAAAGACGCATATCTCCCTGAGCGCAATTAAGCAAAGCCACAGATGCTTAGATAAGCACAGTACCACAAGCCCTAGCAACTCTCTTGTGATATCGAGAGGAAATTCTTCGTATTCTTGCCGCAGTGAATTCGCGCACGCTTCGTGCAGAGAAAGTCCAAGGAAAGCTGGATTAACAGCTGGCCACAATGCAGCAAGCTTTGAAGCAAGTCACCGGAGAGCCGAAACAAGTCAACAGATTGGCCGGTTTTATTAACGAAGTCAGCCAGAGGAGGGGAGTTATGATGGACTATCTACCGAAAGAACACGGTATGCAAGAAAGCTTTCAGGACTCAGAGTCATTTGAGCTCTCAATAGCGTGGTAGAGAAAATGGAGGCGTAGGAGGCTAAATAGGCCGATGGGATAATGAAGCTGATGCATTCTCTCATGCAGCCAAAGTTCCCGTAGTATCAAATCGGCGGACGGGAGAGGAGACCATTGGAACCATTCTGATGCGAGAACCCAATCCAACGCATGGAGCGGCATGGCTTCAATACAGCGCGTGGTATCGATGTCGCGGGAGACGATCTGGCTAGCCGATGCTGTACCAATTGGTTCATGTCATGGATCCCTCGATTCGGTGTTATGGGTGTATGGTTTGTTCGATTGATCGTTGCATTCCATTGTTGAATCCATCGTCGGGAACACTGCTTGGCTTGAGATCTATCGGGTCTGCATTCCGAACACAACATAGATTTTGCTGCGCCTGTAAGAACTGCTTCCGAAGGAAGACTAACAGGACCTCCTCGGAGCAGCCCAAGTTGAATTGCACTATCGATGCGAGATTCCTTTGGCACGTCGTTCTGACACAGAGTTCCATTATCTTTGAACCCTAGGCATGTTGAACGATGATAAGGGTTTCCAACGATCCGGCCGAATGTCGATTGAAAATAGCTAGAACCCCAATCCATACTGGAAGAGAAAGGCTTGATAATCGATGGGTTGATGACGGCGACATTTATGTTTTACAAGGGCAGTAAAGTGTAAAGCGCTATGTGAGTAGGAAAATAAACGTAACAAAAACGGGAACAAAGAAGTGGGGCAAAAATCTCCGAAGAAGAGAAATATAAATAAAAAAGTCCAACTATGCTTTCTTCATCATCCTTCTTTCTATTTCATTATTTATTATTTTCTATATTTGAAAAACAAGGGGCAAAAGCGTTCTACGTATAGATATAGGGAAATTGATTAGTGTAGCTTCCTTGTAGCATGCTATTGCGTCGGTTAGAAGAAGCCGCCGCCGGTTGCCCCAAGAGAACGACCGAGTATATCTTCATTATCGAAATTTTGAGAAGAAAACACTGACTACATAGCTTTGTGCGAGAATGAAGAGTGAAACAATTAAAACAAGTGGTAAAATAGAACAAGGAAAGGCTTTCTTACGGATCGGAGTATGTATCACCTCATCCGCTGGTAGGCACTGTCACCATTCTCCACACATGACGCATTGGAAGTAACGACTATTTTCATTCACGGCCAGCGAAGCCCGAGGACGCAACTAGCTGTCACACCCAAATTTGTTGCTCTTCGAGGTTGCTGGGCCCCTTATATTCACTCCAATCTCTAATTTTAAGATTCCTTAGATGTTCCCCAGGGCGATCGCGGTGAGCCAAGATGGAAAATTTGACCATCTTTCTCTCGGTTTGGCGAGAGCGTAGCCAAATGACAGCAGTATAGCAAACGATCTGCGACACCGCCAATGCTAGCGCGGTCACTAACATTTTGCTTTTTGTAAGTCCGTAGGCGAGAAGTATCACAATGTTCAACACTCCAAGAAGATTTGCCGTGAGACATAGCCTGACAGCTGGGGTCAGCGGTCCATAGTGGGTCTTTCTTGAGATATCTGATCGTACCTATTCCCTAGAAGTGACATTCGTGACCTGAGTGCCGCGAAGGGGAGCAGGAACAAAGGCAGAAACCCACATGCGGCAAGGGCAAAGGCAGCCCCAATGCTGGCATTCTTCGTGCTCAAGCCCTGGTTTAAAGGACCTTGCAGCACAGATGGGAAAAGGAGGAAACTGCGTAACAATTAGTTATGGGGGGGGGGGATGGGCGTTGGTGTTTCACTGGCCTGGTTAAAATCATCCCTGGAGGTAGAAAATTGACCACGTTCCAGTACCACCGGCCACATGCCGTGCGCATTCTGTCCTCCTGTTCTATACGTTTGACCATTTTGTCAGAGTCTGCACCTCCGTACCAGGTGTCCATCTTAGTGGAGACGTAAGAGTACCAGCTAAGTAATTCCACATGTAGGAGGGCGGGGGATCCATTTCCTATAACAAATACAGAGAAGGGTGAGCTCGATTTCCAAAGCTCAGTGAGTCACACTTCTGTGGATGTTGACACGTTTAGCTTTATGTTTTTAGGTTCGGTTTTTGTTGAGACTACAGAGAGATTCAAGGGACAGAAACTAGATAAAGCTAGTTGATTGGAGGAGAGAAAATACACTATGGGTCTCAAACTATCCAAAAGAAGTTGATGCCTGAGGCACAAGAACAACAGTTTTCATGCCCTAATTCTTCCGAGACTTGATTTCGCTGTAAGATCTTCCGTCAATCAATTGGTGGAAGAGCCTCGAGCCTCATTTCTTTGGACTATTTTCAGCTTTGTTTACTGAAGGGTGTGTTATTGGAGCTGCGCATCGTCATGGGATGCTGAAATTGAGGTGGTGACAAGGTGACATACTGCGAGCGACATAACACTTTTCGGCATCGAAATTTTGATACAGGGCGGATTAACATCAATTTCACTATCGTGTGCTCTTTAGATATTTCTCGCAATGTCTATTTTAAGTGACGCCAGGCCTAATATAGATAGTCAGTGACAGCCCCTTGCTCACGGCCCTTTTTCTATTCAACAGAACGTGATAACCTAGGCCAGATGTAAACCGAAGTGGAAGTTTTAGAGCCGAGGAGAATAAAGAGTTGAAACTGATCTTTCGGAGCCGAATTTCACATTTTACTTCCGCTGATTCATACTGTGTGACAGAATCTTCTGAAGATCGTGATTTATGTCCACGTTTGGTCATTAAAGACATTTTGATTGGAACTCCGGAGGTTTTTACACTACACAAGCGGACTCTTAAACAGGGAAAGAGTGAGGATGATGGCATCCAACCTCGCTTTTTTCATACAAATATAAATAATTTTATATTATTATAAAGATTTTGAAATAGCAACTCCGAGAGCCAAAACTGCGAGGGCAACACGTATATAAGTTAACCCATTCTCCTTTCAGAACATTGTTCCACCACGCTTCATTGGGCTTATTCAACAATACAGTATCTTGATGGCCATTTCGAGCTATGTTGTTATCGACCTCTCTTTCAACGCTTATCCCCATAGCGCTTGCAGTCCTTATAATCCGACTCATTATTTTTACAGTCAGATTTCCAGCCCGTCTCTATCTCCCAGGTCCAGTTATCAGCCGTTTCACAAACCTCTGGTACTTATGGCAAATGAAACGGGGTGATTTTCACCAGACAAACATCAAACTGCATCAACAACATGGCAAGTATCATTCCTGTCAACCTCACACCCCTTACTCATACCATGACTACAGGCCCCATTGTCCGTATAGCACCAAACTGGTACAGCATCTCTGATCCTTCGGCTACAAGGTTAATCTATGGTCAAGGCTCTAAATATAAGTTTGACAAATCTGTTCTCGGAGAGATCCTCAAAAAAGCATTCAGAGGATCGCAAAAAGGTCGCCTCGTTATATTCAATGACCTCAATATTGGCATATGAGCCATTCGTGGACAATTGCATCGACATTTTTAAACAGCGACTGGACGAGTTTGCAACAAGGGGCCAGCTCATTGATATGAGTCATTGGCTACAGTGTTACGCTTTCGATGTGATCGGACAGATTACTGTGCGTGCCATGGCTATCCTGCGCTTTACCACTCAATGGCCTTGTAATAACCAAAACAGTTCGGCGATCGGTTCGGGTTCCTCGATGCAGGCAAAGACGTAGGAAATATGATTGAGTTCCTCGATGGCTCCTTCACTATTTGCTCCTATCTCGGCTTGTACGCCTGGCTGTATCCAATGTTCATGAAGGTTGGCAAATATCTAGACATAGGTCAAAGCTTTTTGACTATATTCAGCTCCAGACACATCCAGAATGCAAAGATTACAATGAAGAACCATCACGCCGATCTTTCAACATATATGGCTATGAAGGTCGTTGTCGCCCAAGCGCAGGATCCGGAGAAGCTTTCCGACCACGATATCCTAGCCACCGCTGCCTCTAATATTGGAGCGGGAAGTGATACAACTGGTATCAGCTTAAGCTCGATTCTGTACCACTTGCTTCACGCACCTGCATGTATGCAGAGACTGTGTGAGGAGATCAATTCGTCTGGAATAAATGGCAACCCGACATTCAAAGAGACACAGGCAATGCCATATCTTCAGGCTGTTATCAAAGAGTCGTTGCGCGTTCATCCAGCCACAGGATTTCCAATGTTCCGTGTTGTTCCCCAGGGCGGAGAGGTACTTGCTGGTCAGTTCTTCCCAGAAGGGGTAAGGGCCCCCTATCATAAACTTTAGTGGGTGCAGCTAATATGAATACTAGACAAATGTTGGGGTGAACAGTTGGGTCTCACACTACGACAAAAATATCTATGGGCTTGATGCAGCTACCTTCAGACCTGAACGATGGCTCGAAGTGGATGAACCGCAATCCAAACTGATGGAGCAAAACTTCATGCCGTTCGGTATAGGATCAAGAACATGCATTGGGAAGAACATCTCATTGTTGGAAATGAGTAAATTGATTCCAGTGTTGGTACGAGACTTTGCTTTCGAGTTGAGCCGGGACAACAGGGTTGATGGGTGGAGGACAAGGGCCAGATGGTTCGTCAAACCGAGAGACTTCAAGGTGATACCTATGAGAAAGACATAGATATGGCTTGTGATAGGACCCAGGACCTTGTCTATCTTCCAATTGCATGATATATCTATCGCATTATCACTATTATACAATTCAGCCCAACCAACCGCAAGCATGTATAGGAGCCGACGTGTCCTACTGCACTGTTCCGGCAGAATAGGTATTTTCACGCTGATCGATTACTCCTGATCCTTGAGGGCTGCTATTCCTTTAACTATAACACATTGCTCAAATCGGTGATTGCGCCCCGGTGGCTCAAGAGACTTTTGACTGGCCAAGAGATTGATGGTTCCCGAGCGAACAGCGTTAAATGTTTCCCTTTAGTACTGGAGGCAATATAGGTCACGTGCAACAAGTTATTCTCTAAAGATTTCTATGGCTTTATCAGAAATAAGGAGTTATACCAAATTGTAATACGGTAAAACCTCGAGTGTGAGAGAGTTTACGAGTGGAGCCGGATGAAACCGGTTTCAACTTGAATGGCCCGTTCATTGCGCGTACAGTACTAGACGCCCATACTACAAATATGTCCAATGAAAAACCCTGCTGAGCTTTTGTCCTTGCATCACCCCAGGAACGAGCATGGTCTCAAACCCGTGTAGTAAACACAGTGATGGCGGATCATCGGGTCGAGAGGATCGCGTGTTTTGCAGCATCTGCATGCCGACCCGGAAGAGGAAGCGAGTGGTCAACCCGCACAACCCGGACTCAGTATTCGATGAGGATTGGGAGACAAGTTGCATTCCAGGCTTTATGGTTTCAAGGTTCGAGGCCGTAGGCATCGAGTTACTACCTCATCCACCCATTAGTAGACCTTGCCAACTCCCATGGGGCCAAAAGAATTTCAGTCCCATATCCTGGTCCCATCTACCCGCATGGGACTAAAAAGAACCTGGTCCCATTACCCTAGTCCCACGCTAGCATATTTTTGCCAAGGATTTCCTATTTCGGTTGCACAATACTACAAGGTAATCAGATAAAATACTATTATTTACAGGCGCATTAGTGTCCCTACTTTCGATGTCCAACAATGTGGTTTTTCTATATTACATGGTCTATAATAGAGTTAACAAATGACTCAAGTCTATATCAAAAAGCACCTTTCAAAAAGATCTTTAGATACTAGATTGTGGTGGCCCATAGGCGCAAAGGATATTTAAACATGGTATTAGAAGGAAGTGGAGCAAATTAGACCCTATTTTACATGGTGGTCTTACCCTGGCGGAAGCGGGCGCTCAGTACGCCAGTGACAATGTCAAAATTTTGGACTACAAAAATCGCCGGGAAGCTAAAAAATCGAAGCGACAGGTTAATATGGGTGGCGCTCAATCTGTTTATGATTCAAAAAGGCATATAAAAACAAGGGATGAGGATGAAAGGCGCCGAATAATTCACCAGGCTCGAAAACAGTATATAGCAACTGCAACTGCTAGGGCTGCTCTCTCTATGCAACAGCATGAAGAAGATGAGATCAATAGCCAGGGGGTAAAGCGGAAGCTGAGGAACCTGTACATATAAATTTATCATAGATACTATAGGTGAATAGCTTCAAATTGAAGGTTTTATTATACAGCTCTTCAAAAATTATGATCAGTATGAAATTATGATTAGTGTGGTGCGGCCCAAACCCCGAAGGGGTTAGGGGCGAAAGCGAAGGGCCGAGTACTGAGAATTAACCTGGATTCTCAACATTATAAACTTTGCTTCTGCATTAACGAGAAAACTTACTATCGAAATTAATCCACCTCAGATCTAACTAAAACTACCCACCAATTCTTGTTTCCGATTTGCGTCGTTCTGCTGTCTCCCGGCGAAGAAAACACACTGTCCAACCAACTTCGCAACTCACGTCGCGGCGCATCACTCAGCGAGGACGTACGGACCATCTTATCTTGTTCACCAATAGCCCAAGGATATACACAATATACCTTATCCCAGGACATCACACATGGAATGTGTGAAGCATACGCCATGTCAAAAACATGTGACAAAGGATCGTAGCTTTCGTCACGATATAAACAACGAACTGTAACAGCCGTTCCGTCAGGTCGAGTACAAGTATGAACCTAATGCATATCAGCATCGAGTAGCTCCGCTAAGAGTGTTACACATACACCCCAGTCTGGGTGAGAAAACGGCTCTATAGCAGAGCCGTAGATATACCCTCGCAATTGCGAAGATACCGTACAAAATTTGCAAATTTGACACCTCCTCGAGAGCGAGATTCGACAATAAGAATATCGAATTGGTTGGACAACTCCCGCCCAACAAGGAAATTGCGGGCGAAATCGCCCGCGACGACTCCATGGCTTTCGCGAAGCCTCGACCAAAAGGGACCAGGTTCCCTAACAAACTTGAACCCTGATGCAGACGGTGCAACAGCGAGGAATACATATCAGACGAGGATCAAGCCGCCGATGATGATGACGCAAGTTTGTTGTCTAAATCGAGAGCCCTCTCAACGAGAGGTAGAGCAAGTCGATCAATCGACTTGGACGGTACCGACAATATTTGTAAATCTTCACCTGTCATTACCTGACACGACCGTCCCGGCAAAGAAGAAAAACGTACAAAGACGTTTTCGAAAGAGGGAGCCATAACGAGGCTCCTAGCATTAGCTACTAGATGATTTTTTCAAATGAAAAAAAATATTATCCCCCATCTTATCGGAACGGGCTTACGAGCCGTATTTATACTTTGGATCAGGCTGTATCAGCCAACGGCCCTAGCGTGAGCACGTGTTGTCACATCTTTTGGCACCTAGTGCCAAGAATTACCTGAATAGGTAATTTTCCCAGTCTCACAGTCTCATGCCAAGAATCGCCTGTTTGGGTAGCGGTCAGGCTAATACAGCCTGGTACAGGTATAAATACGGCTCGTAAGCCCGCCCCTAAGAGATGGGGGAATATAATCATAATATTCAGATAGTGAATATACGCCAAATGCCGATTTCTAGGTTTGAAATCCTTCTCGCTTGTTACTCTCCTGTGTGGCGAGAACTAGGTCACCTAGTGACAAATGGTGATTTACAATTGTTGTCCAAGTCGATGGATCGACTTGTTGTAACTTCTCTTGACAAGTTACCCAATGTTGATAACAAACTTAGCAAGTTTGTGAAGGACCCTTCCTCACTGTGGTCAGTCCTCCGGGATACCGGAGGAGCTATATCGGGCGAGTTTGCCCGCATGTTTCTTTTTGGGCGGGAGTCGCCCAATGAACTTGATATTGTAGTGTCCGACCCTCAATTGATTGAGGGTGAAAAGCAAAAGCTGTTCGAAGAGTACCTCGGTGATTCCGAGGGATATACTTTGTTCGTCAATGAGGGGACTTTGTCACCTCGAACTACTCAGGTAATTGTTTGTATATACCTGATTTGATGTGTAACTCATTTTTATAGGTTTTGAGATGTACGAGAAACGATGGTATTGTGATCAATGTTCATTGTCACATTCCCGGTGAGGCCGACGACGTCCGACACGCCGTGCTTGATGCGGCATATTCCACACACATCGCCTGTGTGATTGGTTTTGGCGAAGCTTACTGTGTGTTTCCTCCCGCTCTCAGGGAAAAGGACATATGGGTCTTATCGTTGTCATTGACCACCGCTCAGCGAAGCAAGTTGTAGTGTCTGTTGGACACCGTTGATGTCGAGTTGGATGTCAAGAAGAACTTTCGGTTTACTGGGCCTGAAGCGCAAGTTGATGAGAAGAAGTGGAGTAGTGTCGGGTGCCTGATTCTGCCTTAGGCAGCAGTCCCACATGGGACAGATCCAGATAGTAGTAGATAGCTAGATAGCTCTCTCTCTCTCTCCCTCTTCTTCCTCTCCGTCCCCTTTGCTCCCAGGTGAATCTACTGTACTGTTTCTCCATATCTGGATCTCCGCTCCGTAGATTCTCCATCAAGTAGTCCCTCTTACGCCTAAAGTGTGTGGTAATGGACAGTGAGTCTATTTTCTTTTATGTAATATAGGGCTTCGCCCACCCATGTTATGCAGCCACCTGTACCTCCCTTTTTCTCATTCTCCATTGGTTTTGTGCATCAACTTGCACACAAAACCTTTTAGTAATCCACAAAGTTTCATCATGTCTATGTATAATTCACATACATATAATTCTATCTCTTTTAAACCAAAGCATAGTAAACATGACAAGAATTCTTATAGAAATAGACGAGATCAAAGTCTCATCATACGATCAGGCGCTCTAGTCTGTCAGATACAAGCAGAAGAAACCAGAATCGAAGCGTGAAAGACGGATGCAATCAGGGAGCATAGGTGCATCAACGAATGCCCCGACACAGTATAGGGCTTGGATGAACGTTGAACCCGGACTTGGATAGACCCACGGGAGTAGAACCACCCTCCGATACCGTTTACCAAAGCCATAAAGATATAAGATGCCGTCAGTCGAGATATACTCGAAAAAAAAGCGTTGTAGAGCGAGACACTACATAAAGCCAATCCTCCAAACCCTCCAATAACAAGCACTCGTTCTCTCTTTTCTACTGGCCAGGTTATCAAATAAATGGCACAGACCACCCCACCCAGTGTAACTCCCAGGACAATGGAATGGTTGCTCCCGCTACCAGTAGCCTCTAAAAGCAAGACCGATACAGATGTCCCCCATATGTGTAAAATAATTCCAATGTGGTCAAGCAGGAAGTAGAAAGAAGGGAGCTGCTTTCCTGAGTCGAGCATGTAGTGACAAAAGGTAGAAGTTCCAAAACAAAAGAAGTTGGTTGAGACAGAAACCAAAGCTGTGAGCGCATTGCTTGTGGACAAAGGGCACTGAGACATATGGTAGGTAAAACATAGCAGGATGATACTTCCGCATAAATGGAATTTCGGGTTGACAGAGCCGTTGGTGCGGACCAGTGTGCTTCGGAAGCGATAGCTGGCTTCCATTTCGACAAGATATACTGTCACCGAAAACCTTTATGGAATGAGTAATTTATGGCAACTCAGATAGACACAAGGTTTTTCGAAGTAGATGGGATAGAAGGTATTTAAACCGGTGGCAGAAAATGGTAACGTTATATGACGAGATGCTTTGTTTGTTTTCCTTTATGGTACGTACCTGGCGCACCATGTTGGTCTTATTTTGTTACTGTCATGATTTTCTCGAATCATTTTTTTATGAAACCCCGGCCATTTAGTACCTAATTCTGGTAGGCAGTTCTACGATTGTAAGGATTCCAACATACCAGCCTCACAAGGTAGATACCGAGTTGAGAGATACGCGCCGGGCTCGCCATTCGCCAAAGTGGACAGCCTCTAAATTAAGGGGTTTTTGAACTCGACGCGCGAAGGTAACGAAGAGGCATATAATCGTTTACATGCGGGGTTGAATGTAGTTGGCGAAAGCGTGTCGCGCGATGCTTCGCTGAACAATTGAGGGCCCAGATTCGTTTCACAGAGACTCTAGACGCACGCCGCGTAATTTTACAGTGCGGGGATTTGTCAACTCTGGAACAAGATGTCAACCTTAGGATTCGGCATATTGAATAGTACTCGACATGTCCAATTGAATCTGTGTTGATTGAGGTGCGAGGATCTGTTGAGAGATCCCCAGGGGTAATGATCCAATGTGTTACAACACCGTACTTCCCAGTTAATCCGATTTACAATACAATACTATGGGGAAATGGGCAGACGATGAATAAGGCCTTAATTCCAGTCTACTAGACTGCGCCACCCCCATGGGATAGGGGCCGGGAAACTCGTCTTACTACTGTTATTTGTCCACATTATCGCTTTGTGGGTATTTTATCGAAAGAAAAGAGACGTCGCAGTTCCTTCCAAGGTGGCAACGCGATGAGTGGTGGCTTAATACGAGAGCCGTCACGAATCAATGACGTATTTATAAATGCGAAGTCATGGTAAACTTATGACCTGCACTGCTCTACACAAATGGTGGAAATCGGAAAATGCTCAGCGACTTCTACTCATAGCGTATCTTTTCCGCATCCAGAAACGATAGGAAACGGAAATAGGTGTATGTAATAAATTACCTGCGCAAACTAATATCGCTTCTCACGGTAAACAGTTTGTAACAATCTCCTAGCGGTCATCCTCTTGAATGGAATGCATACAAGTAGAGAGTAATAATTCAAGCGATCTATTGGTTAGCGAACTATGAATTTATCTGTGCTCTTCTGAGATAGCCTTTCAGAATCAGTGTGAGATTCTGATGTCCTTTGGCTTCGTCCAATGCGTTCTCGAGATCGAGGGCTGTAAGGGGAGGGCTTTGATGCGACAACAAAGCCTCGATTACTGTCATCTGTCGCGTGCGTACTGCATGTGACAGGGGCCGTAGGCCTGCCTCAGTAGTCAATTTTGGATTAACTTTCAAATTCAGCAACTCTGGCACAATTGGATAGCCTTTATTTTGAAAGGCAGGTAAGAGAGGCGATACTCCCTTCCTATTGCAAACAGTATGGTAGTTATCGACGAGAAAGCCGATTTGCTCATCGGTTAATGAGTGCGGAAGCGACAAGGTACCAGATATTGCTTTTGTCATTGGTTCAAGATCAGCACCCGAGGCATGAAGCCTTTTCACAAGCTTTAGATCACCTTTATTGGCTGCATACAATAGAGGGCTTAGCCCACGCTCATCACAGCGATCTAAGTAACAAGTCTGGTGATCGATGAGATAGTCTGCGAGATTGAGTTCGCTCTGTCTCCACGCCCAAAGAATAGGAGAAGGCCCAGCCGCACCGTCTGCGATTAATTGGAGAATTTTGTCCTGATATTTGAACGTTATGCGCTTGTCCTCGAGCTCCTTATACTGAAGACAGGTTTTCAATGCAGTTTCCCCGGAAAACAAATTTTTATCGTCCAAAAAGTTGTTATTAAGCGAAGACATATTTTTAAGCTTCGTGATTTAGAAGCAGCACATGCTATGGTCCTTGATTTTCAAGTAGACGAAGGTTCACTTTACTTTTATAGTGTATTTCTTCCAAGAATTTACCAAATATGGAACTAAGGAATCGCTACCAAATTCGGAATTTGGAAATTTTACATACGGGAAATGGAACGATATATTTTTATTTTGTTCAAGAGCCTCAAACACTTAGCTTGCTAAGAGGCTCCTTTCTCTTTGCTCTGGTTGTATTTGTTTAAGATTTCGTCCCGTCCGCGTCAACCGGCTGTTACTAGGTACTGATGCGAGCTAGGTCGCCGTAGGCTCCGCTTATACCTGGCAGATCTAGGGCCAGGAGACGACATGGCTTACTTTGGCTAGTATTCCCTTCTCTAGTTTTGCGTTATCACCACGTATGCTCATCAGTATATCACATGCAGTAAGTTAGTGTATTGCGATGGCCTACTCAGTGAATTACGATGACTATCCCTATTACGTGAAAGGCATATCAGGCGACATGGGCTAACAGTTCGCTGGAAAAGGGCCGACAAATATAGGTTTCACAGAGGAGCTGAGGATCAAGTGTCGTATGGACAGCAATTGAAGACTTGACTCACAATTAGAAGCTTTTGCTTAAACCCCCGATATTGGAGGCCGCGATGACAAAGCCAATTACACCTTTTGAAACTAACAGTGGCGTCATTTTGAATGGCAACAACTCCTAAGGTAATCCAAAAACATTATTCATTTCTTGAAATAATCGTGCCAAGCGCCCAACACACATTCTCTGTGTTGGTGCGCCCCACTCAACGATAATTCCCACACAACGATAATTTTAATGGGATGAATTGCATTTAAACCACTATTTACATATAACCACCAGTAGTATCTATATACCAATTTGCACCATTACTATCTCTTGCCGCCATTGAAGCTTCATGCTCAGCTTCTACTAAATCCCTTGCTTCCTAAGCTCGCCGTTGAGCTTCTAATTCCTTGGCATGCTTTGCCTGTATCCGCTTCAACTTCTTAGAATCAGCATCTCTCCTGTCAACCATCTTCCTATTTGCACATATAGGTGATAGGACATTGCCTTTAGTCCCAAGAAGCGATTTCCCATTTCTTGGGGTATTTGCAATTGAACTAGACGTACGGGCCTTCTTTAATTCATCCCGTAGTATAGCATTTTCTTGGGATAAAAGTGAATTTGCATCCATACTTCGTTGGATATGCTGTTTTGCCCTCTGAGAGTGGTTTTAAATTTGCTTAACGTCCTCAATAAGCTTAGAATTAAGCCTATTAACCCGCTCAATTGTATCTGGCGGCGAATTGGTGACTGAGCTTGCGAATTCCGGAGGGAGAGGGAGTGAGAATCCTAAGGGGGGACCTTTAGATTCAAGAGCTCTTTGACGTAGAGGACCGAGAATAAGCTCTGGATCTAGGGGGTAAATACCTCTAGATTTAAATGAAGATCGGATGATTCTTTGGGTAAAAGCTTGCTCCCGGACACCCTGAATTATCCTGAAAAAATCCCCTTCTTGCTTGCACTTTTGGTGTTGTTATTCAGATGAAAGGCATTGGTAGCTCTTAAAATTTGATCTTCGAGATTTTCAATTTGCTCCGACATCGTGGTATGGTGTAAAATACTAACAAAATTGATGCCAAAGTGGAAAATTATCGTTGGGTGGGGCGCACCAACAAAGAGAATGTGTGTTGGGCGCTTGGCACGATTAAGGGTCATTGTTGAGGGGGCATTGGGGTACGGCAGGTTTTAGACGCCATCGCGCCAACCGGGTTATCCACACCCTTTCACTCCTACTAAGATCATGTCTGGAGAAGGGGATGGAATATGTCTACCTTTTACTTCTTGGGACGTCTTTCTTATTATTCCTGGAAAAGAAGAGTCCTTCTATATCCTTCGATATCACTAATCTCAATATTCTCGGTAATAATTTTTTAGATCTGCTTAAGGGTTTGAAGTCGTAGGCTGGACGTTGGTGACTGTATAGCAATGTATGGTATAGATGACAGATGTGTATTTCTCTAACTAACTAAATTGACAAAATCCGCTATTTTTCCAATCTGTGCGGACATGGCTTACTAACCATAATATACAATTTTGTATGGAGCACGCTATCATGGCGTTTTAATACCCTGTATTTCCGCTGTAGGTCCCCAAGGCTGAGTATATAGGTGAGACCAAGGCGGTAAAATAGGCGGTAAACAAAATATATGGGTTGGCGCGATGGCGTCTAAAACCTGCCGTAATTGGGGGGGTTTTAGGCGGCAATCACATCACATGACTGATGGCTGTGTACAGAAAGTACCTGTCACATCATACTGTACAGCAATCTTATTGGAGGATTTGGGTGGCTTAGATAGGGTAGAGTATGTTCCACTAGGGAATTTTCTTCCTGCGGAGCGAGATACTGTTGCTCCGCAGCACGCCCCTTCTTGAAAATGTTACCACGGTCCCGGCCGCGTAAGTTGGAATTAAATCTTTATAGGGCAGAGTAATTTTTAGTCAGCCCAGAATCTTTGGCAAGGGCGAGTATGGTTGCTGCTGGGCCGTTATACTCAGTCATTGTGAAGGGCTACGGCCGAATTGATTCAACTGAGCGGTGCCAACATGCAGTCTATCTAAAGCTTAGAAAAGTGTAAGAATAGGGGGGCGACCAGCGATGAGTAAATATCCTGGGAAATTGATGAATCACATCGCACAGGACACTTGGGCAATAGATCGGAACCTGGGAGAATAAAAATCTTGAGTCGGACTAGGTTTAGATGCATCTATCTACCAAGATTATGAAAATTTTCCCCCAGAATAGATGCTTTGTTGTGAACCATGGTCGGATCACTGAACTGCCACGTAAACCTTGATGTCGAGGGGAAGGGTTCCCACGATGAAATATACCCAAACTGGAGGTAAATTTCGATCAAATTGGAATCAATATATAGCACAAGTATCAGTAATTGTTTGACGATGTCTTTGAAGCTTTTTGAAGCATTATGTTGGATTTTCCTGCGCGTCTTCCAAAGTATTCTCACTACGAGCGGTGAGGGAGGGAAGCGGTTGCGGCGGGATGCACGTTACGCTCCGGACTATTCCAAAATATGACCAAAATGGTCTGGATAGTCCGCCACGGTGAAGGAGAGCAAAATATCAATGTGGGTGGACCACAAACTAAAGAGTGATGCAAAGCATAGAACAATGCCACAATCTGAAGGAAAGCTTCGCTTTCCGTATTGATATATCCCTTGTTCTTGCGTCTCCTCTAAGACGTGCCATTTAAACGGCAGCATATGCCTTGCAACTAGTCTTGGAGAATAATTAGGTGCCATTTATGATTATTCCTAAGTCGCAGGAAATTAGCAAGCTGCCTTGTGACTTAGACAAGACCCCGATGTTCTGAAAAAGGAGATTCCGCAATTGATCTTGCGAGAAGCCGCAGGCTTTAACCTAGAGAATTTGAATACAACCCTACTATTGACTGTCTAGCACTACAAGGTAGGGAGATAACTTAATTATTCGAGATCAAAAGGCCCCACAATTTGATGTGATTTGTGACAGTATCTCTTGACGGGACCTATAGGCTAGAATTTATGCCCCTACCTCGACTTCCGTCGACAAACGCGCAGCTGAACTGCATAGATGGCTGTAGAAACATCCACAGGAGCAAGTAGCACTCGTAACACATGGAGCTTTTCTCCATTATTTGACTGATGACTGGTACCGGTATGACGAGCAAGGAGGTAGGAGTGTTGTCCGGCATCCTAGTGTTCCATGTTGAACATCACACTCACACTTAGAAACTGGCTATCGCAACTGTGAATGCAGAAAATCCACATTCACCGATAACTTGACTGAATTGGACGCGCATCTTCCTGGGAGTGGCGAAAATCGCATAAAGAAAGAAAGACCTGTGGTTTCCGTGCCCACCTTGTGCATGATAACGAGAATCGATAAGTTTATACAAAGAGACTTACAGTAGTTTTCGAAATCAGTTATACCTCCACACTCTTACTACTTCATTCCCGGAAAATAATTCCATCGGTTGTAAGCTCTGATTGGATAAGCTATTTAAAGCTACATTTCAGACCGCTTTCTATAATTATTGCTGTATTTTATAATACAATCAGCAGACCGGGAAGGTTGTATTTTACACGAAACCGACATACACGCTAACCTGGACGGCCCCTTCTTCCCCCCTAGGTCACTCGACAACCTCCCTACGCATCACATCTTCTTCTCAGTCCTAGCACCCATTTACTTCAAGGCGATATGGCTCCAAGTCTCTCTCCAGCCAAGCTCGTTCTCATACGTGATACAGTAGCGACCGCTTTCGCCTTCCATGTCAGGAACAGAGAGATCTTCTTTCAAACCCTAATCACATGATACGCTAATCCAGATATGAATAGCGCGTAAATAATTCGTTTTGTAGCGAACCAGGTATTAAATACCAGAAGCTTAAAATACCAGTATGGAAGATACAAGGGTCTAGAACTAGACGCGCTGGCTGGAAGTAGTGATGGTGTAATAACAAAATTGGCCAACTCATTACGAAATCTTGAAATTTCATTTTTTTTCTCCTTTCAATTACATTTCAAGGGGCTTCAGCTCGATGAGTCAGCATTAGCGGTGAAGGCTTTCGGCCAATAGGATCCCGCAATGGAACGTTCTGCCATCTCATCTTTCTGTCTAGAATATTTGCTGTAACTCCTAGCAACAACTGCACAGATATATATTCATAATATGCCTGGGATGCTTTCACCCCTTCGTAGTTACATGTTCTCGGAAATGGCCGATAACTCTTCTGACAAGATCTCTTACACCGAGCTAGAACTTCAAAGGTGCTTTGAAATCATACAGGGGAATAAAAAGGTAAGGACTGACTCGTAAAATCCATCCTGTACTCCCCTAACTGTGGCTAGGTGCCCCAAGCAAAATGCCTCGGATGCTTTAAAATTCGGGCCAAAAACACGACTCGTCAGAGTGAGCACGT